CTGTGCAGTGTGGAGTTGTTGGGTCTCGCTGCACAGAACAGGAGAAGGTTGGCAGAGGTAACAGGAGACGGCTACAACAAGGACGCAGATAACAAAACCTGACCGCGTTCCTGATCCTTCCCCGCCATGTTGGGAATTACTGAAGCAGCTGAAATAAAAGGCAGATTCTTCATGTGTTCATGTCCAGCGGGCGGCTCATACTGTAACCCAGCGCTGCGATTTGGAATCTGGTCTTATTGAAAAAGTATTGAAGCCAGAGAACTAGCATTTTCAGAGAGAAGTACTAATTCCCCCCCCCCCCCCCCCTAATTTTTTTTTTTTTCAGTGCAGCTTCCTTTAGGACTCCAGCGTTCCCATTGATTAATTTGAATGTGCTTTTTGCTGATCATTTTTGAAGCCACCTTTCCAAAATAAATCTTCTTGTTGCATGAGCCCTTCCACTGCTCCCTCTTTTATCAGGTAGAAGAGCGGTGGATTCTTCTATGGGCCAGAGGATCTCAGGGTAGATAAAAGGGTTGATATTCTGTACCCACCACAGGAAGCTGCCATTAAACTCCGAAGGTTTGCCTGTATCTCACCGTCTCTTGGCCTCAGAAGACTCCAGCAAATTATTTTCATGCCAGTATTCGGAATTCAGGGTCCATGTTGACCCAAGAGTTTAGGTTCCCACCAGTTTGACAGACACAAGTCAGAATGCATTTTTTTTGTTTTTTAAAACGGCAGCCGAAACAACAGGGACATCTGAGGAGGCAAAACAAACACATGAATAAGTCATGGTTGAAGTGGAGGAAGGCACCGAAAATTAAACAAAGCAGAGACGGGGAGAGAATTATACAAGTATCTGAAATATCTCATGAAGACGAAGGAAGAGTTGATGTTGCAGTGGATGTTCTACTCTCAGAACATTTATGGTGGAGATGGTAACAGGAATATATCTCATATTTCAACCTTACACTGTCCTTTTATGTTTTACATTTTTTGCTAAATGTGGCTGCTTGTTTTCACCCGTGTTATCTATTGGTGAAAGTATGTGGAACGTCCACAGATGATTTGGTTCAGGTGTCTCCAGTGAAGGGTCCTGTTAATACTCCATCATACAAAGACATTGCAGAGAGTTGGCTCTTCCTTGTGCCAACAGTTTGGTGAAGACCCTTTTCTGTTCCAGCATGACTGTGCCCCTGTGTACAAATCCAGCTCCATGAAGACATGGTTTGACCAGTTTGGTGTGGAGGAAACTCAAGTATCCTACACAGACTCCTGACCTCAACCCTACTGAACACCTTTGGGATTAATTAGAATGCCAATGGTGAGCCAGATCTTCTCCTCCTACAGCAGTTCCTGACCTCACAGATGGACACAAATTCCCACGGACACTCAAAAATCTTGTGGAAAGTCTTCCCTGGGGAGTGGAGAATTTTGTAGACACAGAGGGGACAGATCCATATTAATGGCCATAGTTTTTTAGTGAAGGGACCTGTTAATTCTACATCCTACAAAGACATTGTAGACAATTGTGCTTTTTCTAACCTTGTAACAGTTTGGTGAAGAAACTTTTCTGTTTCACCATATGTGTGCCCTGTGTACAAAACCAGCTCCATAAAGACATGGTTTGACCAGTTTTTGGTGTAGAGGAACTCGAGTGTCCTTCACAGAGCCCTGACCTCAACTCTACTGAACACCTTTGGTATGAATTGGAACACTGATGGTGAGTCAGGTCTTCTTATCCAAAATCAGTACCAGACCTCAGAAATGGGCACAAATTCTCACAGGCACCCTCCAAAATCTTGTTGAACGTTTTCCCAGAAGAAGAAGAAGAGTGGGGCCAACTCCATAAAGACATGGTTTGACCAGTTTGGGGTGGAGGAAGTCGAGTGGCCTGCACAAATCCCTGACTCCAACCCTACTGAACATCTTTGGCATGAATCGCAACTCTCAAAGACTCAGCCAAGTGTTCCATCATCAGTACCTGACCTCACAAATAGGCACAGATTCCCACAGACACCTTGTGAAAATCTTGTGGACAGCCTTCCCAGGGAGTGGGGGATGATATAGCCACAAATGGGCAACTCCATATTAACGGCCTAAGGGGAACGGCCTTCATGGTTTCTGAAGGGGATGTTCAACAAGCTCATATAGGTGTGATGGTCAGAGGTCCACGAACTGTTGGCTATATAGTGTATCTTTCGAGAACTGCTGGTGAGCCTTTTGTGGTTTGCGTTCCTGCAAGTTTCTTGGTCTTCTCACCTGCCATGACTTCTACTCTACCTTTTTAGATGTCTTCCTTTTAACTAGTACTGTATACGTTCGTGAAACTGGAGTTGTTTTCCACAGCAACCAGAGTCCTAGCTTCATCTGAGAGATTATCTTTGGTTTCTATGGCCAACTACTGTTACCCCCAGTGTGTGAATATCCTACCTCTGGGGGGTCCCCAGGAAACCCAAGAGCCAGAATCATGGACATCTCTATTATTTTTCCATGGGCTGGGCCTTTAACCTTTATGCTGCCTTGAGCTGTCAAAATTTATGGTTTACTCTAAACTGATGATCTGTAAAGGCTTTTAAATCGTCACCCATGGACATTTTTAGGTTCCATAGTTTATCACCATTTTATGGGTGCGCGCACAGTTTCAAGGCTTAACATGTTTGGTGTTTATGTAGTAGACCCAACCCTATCTTTTATATTTTAGTGGAAAAAAATAGGTATTCTGTTTGTGTGCACAAAAAACTCATTTTAGTTTTGTTTATTTCTGAAAATGTGTGTTTGCAAAATGGCTGAGCAGATATCATGTGACAAAAAAAAAATTAGCTGCCACCAATTTATTCTCCAGGGACTCTGCTTTCAGAAAATATGGAATTTATATAGAATATTTTAGATTTTAAATGTAAAAAATTGACCCGGTAGACAAGTGGTCAAAAAGAGGATGTTTTCTGGTTTATTATTATTATACAGGATTTATATTTTTTTTTATTATTATTATTATTATTATTATACAGGATTTATATTATTATTATTATTATACAGGACTTATATTATTATTATTATTATTATTATACATGATTTATATTATTTATTATATTATTATTATTATTATACAGGATTTATATTATTATTATTATACAGGATTTATATTATTATTATTATTATTATTATTATTATACAGGACTTATATTATTATTATTATTATTATACATTATTTATATTATTATTATTATTATTATACAGGATTTATATTATTATTATTATACAGGATTTATATTATTATTATTATTATACAGGACTTATATTATTATTATTATTATTATACATGATTTATATTATTATTATTATTATTATTATACAGGATTTATATTATTATTATTATTATTATTATTATACAGGACTTATATTATTATTATTATTATTATACATGATTTATATTATTATTATTATTATTAACAGGATTTATATTATTATTATTATACAGGATTTATATTATTATTATTATTATTATACAGGATTTTATTATTATATTATTATACAGGATTTATTATATTATTATTATTATTATTATACAGGATTTATATTATTATTATTATTATACAGGATTTATGGTGCCAACAGTTTTCTCAGCACTTTACAATATAACGGGAGACAATACAGCAACAATACAGTTCAATACAAGAGGGATAGGAGGGCCCTGATCCTTGGAGCTTACAATCTAAGAGGGAGGGGCTAGTGGTACAAAAGGTAGTAACTGTGGGGGATGGACCAGGGGCGGACTGACAACTCATGGGGCCCCCGGGCAATAGGGGATCATGGGGCCCCTGTGTCCTTGCCCAAACTCAAAAAAAGCCTATGAAAAAGGTACCAGGGGCATCTCATGGGGCCCCCTACTGATCCCGGGCCCTCGGGCAGTGCCCGAGTTTCCAGATGGTCAGTCAGTCTGCCCCTGGGATGGACTGGTTGGAAGAGTAGAAGATTCCAGTATTAGCTGAGGGCAGGATAGGCTTCCCTGAAGAGATAGGTTTTTTTTTTTTTTAGATCGCCTAAAAGTAAGCAGAGTAGGCGATAGTCTGATAAATTGGGGTAGAGAGTTCCAGAGGATGGGGGAAGCTTTGAAGAAGTCCTGGAGACAAGCATGGGAGGAGGAGAGAAAGGGCGCTAGAGAGTAGGAGGTCTTGCGATGAGCGGAGAGGACGGTTTGGGTGGTATTTAGAGATAAGATCAGTGATGTAATTTTGTGTGGATGTTTATATGGATTTGTATTCACTTCCTGTTGTGCCTCTGGGACAGGAAGTGAGAGGAAATCTCAGTGAGGTCAAAGACAGATATAAAATTGTGACGGAGGTTCTCATTCTTCCCAATGTTGCCATAAATGCAAAAAACAATATTGCCCGTTGGAGTTCCCGAGCTCTGAGCTTGGATCTTGGAATATTGCTTTCATCTATACATGTGGCATAATAGCCAGCTACGTCAGGCTGGAAGCAGGTGACAGGTGCTCTTCATGTGAGCCGGCTGCTGCCGAACGTTCGATGAGATGCCGTTTTCGGGATGTGACCTCTTGTTTTTATCATTGGAGAAGTGTCTGTGTCCTCGGAATAAACACGCTTTTCTGGGAAAAACATAATTAGATTCATTTTGGGGTCAGCAGGCTCTTGACTTGTCTTAGGAACATTTCAAGAGTTTCCACTTCACACTTCTCATCCCGCTAACGTGCATGCTTTGCATACCGATTGTTTGATTTGTCAGGTAGCAGCAGAACGGGGAGCCGGGAAATCAGCAGCTCTGAGATTCGCCCTCCTCCTGGGGGCTGCGGCGGCCCTCCGATTTTAATTCAGGTTCAATGACTTATGGGAAAACTCTTTTATGGAACAGGCCTGAGAGCCAGCGCTTCACCCGATTTACACCCCAATATAGATAATTCTGTCATTTTAGTGATTGCTGTTGGGAGAATTGTCATCAGGAATGTTAAATCATCCTCCGACTTCCCTTCAGTCTTGCACAGGTGTACCGGCTCCTCACCTTCAGTCTTGCACAGGTGTACCGGCTCCTCCCCTTCAGTCTTGCACAGGTGTACCGGCTCCTCCCCTTCAGTCTTGCACAGGTGTACCAGACCCTCCCCTTCAGTCTTGCACAGGTGTACCAGCTCCTCCCCTTCAGTCTTGCACAGGTGTACCGGCTCCTCCCCTTCAGTCTTGCACAGGTGTACCCGGCTCCCTCCCCTTCAGTCTTGCACAGGTGTACCAGCTCCTCCCCTTCAGTCTTGCACAGGTGTACCTGCTCCTCCCCTTCAGTCTTGCACAGGTGTTCCGGCTCCTCCCCCCTCAGTCTTGCTTGCACAGGTGTACCGGCTCCTCCCCTTCAGTCTTGCACAGGTGTTCCGGCTCCTCCCCCCTCAGTCTTGCACAGGTGTACCGGCTCCTCCCCTTCAGTCTTGCACAGGTGTACCGGCTCCTCCCCTTCAGTCTTGCACAGGTGTACCAGCTCCTCCCCTTCAGTCTTGCACAGGTGTACCGGCTCCTCCCCTTCAGTCTTGCACAGGTGTACCAGCTCCTCCCCTTCAGTCTTGCACAGGTGTACCGGCTCCTCCCCCTTCAGTCTTGCACAGGTGTACCGGCTCCTCCCATTCAGTCTTGCACAGGTGTACCGGCTCCTCCCCTTCAGTCTTGCACAGGTGTACCGGCTCCTCCCCTTCAGTCTTGCACAGGTGTACCGACTCCTCCCCTTCAGTCTTGCACAGGTGTACGGGCTCCTCCCCTTCAGTCTGGCACAGGTGTTCCGGCTCCTCCCCCCTCAGTCTTGCACAGGTGTACGGGCTCCTCCCCTTCAGTCTTGCACAGGTGTACCAGCTCCTTCCCTTCAGTCTTGCACAGGTGTTCCGACTCCTCCCCCCTCAGTCTTGCAACAGGTGTTCCGACTCCTCCCCCCTCAGTCTTGCACAGGTGTATCGGCTCCTCCCCTTCAGTCTTGCACAGGTGTTCCGGCTCCTCCCCCCTCAGTCTTGCACAGGTGTACCGGCTCCTCCCCTGGACCGAAACGGCTTCTTCTGATTTCACCGCACACTGTGAGCTTTTCACAACGTGCATTAGAAGCTGCAGCAAGTCACCATTTTCCTGGTTGGAGGATGTCCAACATGAATGTCCCTGGCCCGCCCCTTTCATTCATTGGATTTCAGCTCTTTCAATCTTGAGGACTCAGCATCACATGAGGGTATTACGTAGGGTAGTCTGCATGCAAATACAGCCTGTCTAGGAACGCCCACTTCTCCAGACTGATACCCGCCTATCGAGGCATTTTTATATTTTTGCATAACTCCTCCCATGAGCCAGCCCACTGCTTGCATCAGGGCTGAGGACTCTTGAGAGGAGTACTGAGGCAAGGTGATGGGAAGTTTTCAGGAAGCAATGTACAGCCTTCTGCCTGCCCCTCCCACCAGCCATGATCTTCCTGTATTGCACAGAGAGGCACAGAGACCCAAGGTCTAATAAATAAGATATGTAATGGAAACTGACATTTTAGGGGGTGGGGGGACCTGGAAAGCCAAACATTTAGGCCGTTCAAATTCCAGCTTTAAATCTTACACTCAGAAGTGATTTGTGGGCTAAAAGTTAAAAACATCTGAAGGTTTTTTATTGGTGACTTGTGTCCCCGTTAGGGAGTTTTTAGGTTCACTTCCTGTCTTCAAATCATATGACGCCACTAGTTCTCCAAGTCTCTACCCATAGGAAGCCACTGGTCCTCCAAGTCCCTACCCATAGGAAGCCACTAGTCCTCCAAGTCCCTACCCATAGGAAGCCACTAGTCCTCCAAGTCCCTACCCATAGGAAGCCACTAGTCCTCCAAGTCCCTACCCATAGGAAGCCACTAGTTTTCCAAGTCCCTACCCATAGGAAGCCACTAGTCCTTCAAGTCCCTACCCATAGGAAGACACTAGTTCTCCAAGTCCCTACCCATAGGAAGCCACTAGTCCTCCAAATCCCTACCCCTAGAAAGCCACTAGTTCTCCAAGTCCCTATCCATAGAAAGCCACTAGTTCTCCAAGTCCCTACCCATAGGAAGCCACTAGTCCTCCAAGTCCCTACCTATAGGAAGCCACTAGTCCTCCAAGTCCCTACCCCTAGAAAGCCACTAGTCCTCCAAGTCCCCACCCATAGGAAGCCACTAGTTCTCCAAGTCCCTATCCATAGAAAGCCACTAGTCCTCTAAGTCCCTACCATAGGAAGCCACTAGTCCTCCAAGGTCCCACCCATAGGAAGCCACTAGTCCTCCAAGTTCCTATCCATGGGAAGCCACTAATCCTCCAAGTCCCTACCCATAGGAGGCCACTAGTCCTCCAAGTCCCTACCCATAGGAAGCCACTAGTCCTCCAAGTCCCTACCCATAGGAAGCCACTAGTTCTCCAAGTCCCTACCCATAGGAAGCCACTAGTCCTCCAAGTCCCTACCCATAGGAAGCCACTAGTCCTCCAAATCCCTACCCCTAGAAAGCTACTAGTTCTCCAAGTCCCTATCCATAGAAAGCCACTAGTTCTCCTAGTCCCTACCCATAGGAAGCCACTAGTCCTCCAAGTCCCTACCCTATAGGAAGCCACTAGTCCTCCAAGTCCCTACCCCTAGAAAGCCACTAGTCCTCCAAGTCCTCACCCATAGGAAGCCACTAGTTCTCCAAGTCCCTATCCATAGAAAGCCACTAGTCCTCCAAGTCCCTACCATAGGAAGCCACTAGTCCTCCAAGGTCCCACCCATAGGAAGCCACTAGTCCTCCAAGTTCCTATCCATGGGAAGCCACTAATCCTCCAAGTCCCTACCCATAGGAAGCCACTAGTCCTCCAAATCCCTACCATATAGGAAGCCACTAGTCCTCCAAGTCCCTACCCATAGGAAGCCACTAGTCCTCCAAGTCCCTACCCATAGAAAGTCACCAGTCCTCCCAGTCCCTTCCCATAGAAAGTCACCAGTCCTCTAAGTCCCTACCCATAAGAAGCCACTAGTCCTTCAAGTCTCTACCCATAGGAAACCGCTAGCCCTCCAAGTTCCTACCGAAATGAAGCCACTAGTCCTCCAAGTTTGTACCCACAGGAAGTCACTAGCCTACGTATAGGAAGCCACTAGTCCTGCAAATCTCTACCCATAGGAAGCTACTAGTACTCCAAGTTCCTACGCATAGGAAGCCACTTTCTCACTTCTCACATAAATCCTTGGAGCCTTTGCTGTTCTTGGCTGTGTTCACAAGTGCTTGACATAGATCAGTCCCTTGTGACTTCCTGCAAAGTTACAATGTTGTAGTCTAGTCACTGGGGGAGGAGACTGAGGAAATGCTTCCTCCTCCCTCTACAAAGTTACAATGAACAGTCTGATCACTGGTGGAGGGGAGACTGAGGAAATGCTCCCTCCTCCTACAAAGTTACAATGTACAGTCTGATCACTGGGGGAGGGGAGACTGATGAAATGCCTCCTCCTACAAAGTTACAATGTACAGTTTGATCACTGGGGGAGGGGAGACTGAGGAAATGCCTCCTACAAAGTTACAATGTAAAGTCCGATCGCTGGGGGAGGGGAGACTGAGGAAATGTGTCCTCCTTCTACAAACTTACAATGTACAGTCCGATCGCTGGGGGAGGGGAGACTGAGGAAATGCCTCCTCCTCCTTCTACAAAGTTACAAGGTACAGTCCGATTGCTGGGGGAGGGGAGACTGAGGAAATGCTTCTTCTTCCTTCTACAAAGTTACAATGTACAGTCTGATCACTGGGGGAGGGGGAGAGACTGAGGAAATGCCTCCTCCTGCAAAGTTACAATGTACAGTCTGATCGCTGGGGGAGGGGAGACTGAGGAAATGCCTCCTACAAAGTTACAATGTACAGTCCGATCGCTGGGGGAGGGAAGACTGAGGAAATGCCTCCTACAAAGGTACAATGTACAGTCCGATCGCTGGGGGAGGGGAGACTGAGGAAATGCCATCTCCTGCCTGCAGCAGACTGATGATATCATCTCAGACTAGGCAAAGATACTGATTGCAGCTCAAAGATGGCTTTTTTAATGATAAAAGGTATAAAATGATCTCGTTGCTGATTATTGGGAGATGTCGGATGTATTCATACCGTCTTGTTACTGACAGGTCCACTTTAAGTTGCTGAATGTTGCTCTCTTTTTTTGCTGTATTTGTTCCTGTGTATTACGTGTTGCCTATTTATTTTCTGCTCCAGATTCCCAATCAGAGGACGAACCATCCCCCACGAAACGGCCTCGACTACTAGACAGCGGCGAAGGGCCCGACAGTAACCGCCCCAAACAGAAGAGCCGCCGCCGCTGCTACCGCTGCCAGATAAAACTGGAGTTGGTACAACAGGAGCTGGGCTCGTGTCGCTGCGGTGAGTGCCATTTTCTGGGGTACGGGCCACTGGTTTAGGTGCCCACTGGCCTGCCAGACGTCAGGTTTGCGGAGCTCACCACCCTAAGGGGAATTATGGGCAGAGCTGGGAGGAGGGAACAATGCCATTCCATGTGGATTGGGGACTGTACAGCTGATTTCCATCCACCCATTCCAGAATTCGATCTGATTCCGGACACACTTGTAGCAATTTGCAGCCAATGTTAGCCGGATTTTGATTGCTAATATTATACAAAGTCATTAAAAGAACCAGGGACGCCTATTAGTAGGAAATAAAATCACCCGGCAAACGTTCATCCGTTTTATGAAATAACATCAATTTAAAGTGCAACTCCAGGTTTTTGACAGACCGATCGCCTAGAGCAGTGGTTCTCAACCTGGGGGTCGAATGACCCTTTCACAGGGGTCGCCTAAGACCATCGGAAAACACATATTTCCGATGGTCTTAGGAACCGAGACACCGCTCCTCTATCCGTCTCCAGGTGGGTCCGCCCACATGCAGATACGCCCACATACGAGTACCTGGCGTGATGACATCATCGCGCCAACCCCATCACATACACCCCGTACAAATACAGGTGTTTGTGACAGGGTTGGCGCCATAATGTACTTATGTGGACCAGCCACACATGTGTAAAGAGCAGCAGTAGAAAGCAGCTACTGTGTAGAGAGCAGCTACTGTGTAGAAAGCAGCTACTGTGCTGAAAACAGCTACTGTGTAGAAAGCAGCTACTGTGCTGAAAACAGCTACTGTGTAGAAAGCCGCTACTGTGCTGAAAGCCGCTACTGTGCTGAAAACAGCTACTGTGTAGAAAGCAGCTACTGTGTTGAAAACAGCTACTGTGCTGAAAGCAGCTACTGTGTTGAAAGCAGCTACTGTGCTGAAAGCAGCAGTATTGGAGGTAAAATGACACTTCATGAATTATAATTACAATTGTTTTTGTGATGAATCACCACGCTTTACTTATGTTTACTTATTTGTAACAATGACAATCCATCCTGCATATCAGATATTTACATTACGATTCACAATAGTAGCAAAATTACAGATATGAAGTAGCAACGACAATCATTTTATGGTTGGGGGGGGTCACCACAACATGAGGAACTGTACTAAAGGGTCGCGGCATTAGGGAGGTTGCCTACCCCTGGCCTAGAGGAAGGGGACCTCTGTATCTCCAGAACATTGGGGAAATCATGCTTGGTTTTTTTGGTACCCATGACCTCAGGAAAAGATTGGGGTTCTACCTCTGGGCAGGATTTTCTGTACGTGTTTCTAACGGCATCACCGATGGTTACGCAGCCCAATTATGGGATGGATTATTTATTATTTGTATTTATACCTGCACATGGTGACAACATTTCTGGAAATCTGGCCCCATACTTAGATTTTTTTCTACTAGACCTGCCTGTAGTAGAGGTGAGAAGGAAGCCGTGACTGTCAAAGAGATTGTTTGGTTTTTATAATTCTGTTATTGATACGTATGCTTCAGTCTTCTAAAAATGAGAATTTGATATTGGTAAGTGAATTTTTTGGCCAGTATACGCTCTGTGCACTGCTGGAGGACTCCGCTCCTTCCTCTATAACTCCTCTCCTGAAATACTCTGCGCTGCTGGAGGACTCCGCTCCTTCCTCTATAACTCTCCTCTCCTGAAATACTCTGCTCTGCTGGAGGACTCCGCTCCTTCCTCTATA